CCCTCCTTCAACAGCTGTACCCTGTACCACCTGGTGGCAGTAAGTGGCTTCAACACCAGTGAGGATGAGGCTCAGCTCCCTGGGAGCCTGGAGCCCGGGCACAGGGGCAGTGATGCCAGCCTCTCAGTAACTCAGCCTCAATCCCAGGACGCAGCACCAGGCTGATCTTGAAAAAGACAGTAATTCACATCCCATTTCCGCACTTCTGGCCTAGGTGGGGGCTGGGGGACAGGAAAGAAATGTACCCAGTCTTCCTCACATCTAAATCTGCAAGATTATGGGAAAGGCTACTGCAGTGTCTTATTGTATGGGCTTCGAAAATACTATCAGGTATTACCCTTACTTAGGCATTAATTAAGACAGAAAGTGTGGCCAGAGAGATCGTTAGAAGGTAGTAAAAAAATCACTGAGTGTGAAGCCAATGCTTTTGGCTAAGTAATTAATGGTTAAATATATTTTATTCTTCTTTTTAATATAAGAAACAAAAGGCACGGGTTATAATTCAGAAGAACTCACAATAAAGTTATCACCCTGTGCTCTGGTGTGCTGTAGTACACCTGCCATGAGTGATCGTGTGTGTACGCAGGTGCCATGAATTACCTGACTCCTTTCCATTAACTGGTTTCCTGGAAATTCTGGGTAAATTGGTTTGGTATCATGTCTCCTCTTAATCTCTCTTAACGGACAAAACAGATTCTCAGGACTCTTAAAAAAGCAGCAATAAGAAATCGGCCACCCCCCTACATATCAAGGATGTTGCAAATGCATTAAAATGTGCAAGAGTTCAACCTAGGGTAGAATCCAGAAAGATTAAATCGGGTAAGAGCCTAAAATGATTTTGGTGATCTATCAAATTCACTTACATATTCATCAAGACAAAGTGCCTTTTCCCTGGTTTTTGCCCATAAAAAACAATTTTTCACATCCGGCACCGTTATACTAATGCAATGGAGTTCACTTTTATATGTTACAATGAATAAACACAGCATGTTTTCCCATTCCACATTTTCACAAAGTCTGTGCTGTGACTGAGGAGAAAACTGTGAGTCCATGAAGGATTAAGAATGCATTAAGAAGGCTAAGGTCTATTTATTCCTATTTACACAATTGGTAAAATGTTATAATTTTAAATCAATGTCTCAAACTATGATTTGGCAAAGTGATTTTTAACATTATAAAATTAAAAACTATATAAAAAAATCAATTAGCCTGATTGACACTCAATATCATTTAACTTTTGCAGGGCAACAAAACAAAACAAAACAAAAACCTCTGCCTTCTAATTTCCTTCCAGCGAGAACCTGGAGCTAAAGAGGGCTCTTCCAATGTTTTATTTATGGGCCAATTTCTAGACGTCTGCACTCAGCCTGAACAGTAAGAAGCTGGCACTAATAAGCCATACATAATGATCGCAGTTATTAAAATATGAATTAGGCACCTTCCCTGTTTCTGTGTGCGTAAGTACAATTCATACTGTGGGCTGAGCTGGGAATGAGATCGCCTCAGTCAACCAAGCATTGTAGTGCGGTCAAATGAGATTCCAAATGCAACTGGAAAAGATGTGTTTGGCAGAAAAAGTAGCAGTTATTTCACACGGAACAGCCAGTTGTCCTGCCTCTTTCTCTCCCACCTGCCCTTAACAAAATGATGCGTCCATCCTAAGTGACATGGAGTCACCTTTGACATCCGTGTAAGTTGCGTGGCGCCCGGATGGCAGCTACCAGACATGGCATATTTTCAAACACTAGCTTGAACTTGCAAATGCGTGACCACATAAATCTCAATCTGTTTAGCATGCATGGCCTTTGTTCCCCTGCTTGTGTGTTCACTGGGGAATTCAAGGGAGCGAGTGGGGGTGTGAAGGGCAGGAGCCCTTTGCCGTGCCAGCCTCTCACGCTCTGCCTTTTCTTGTTTGAGCCACTCCTCTGCGTCACACCATAGGAGACATGAATCAGATCAGCATTTACCTAAGTAATGTGCATGAAACTTGCCCACTTATCCTTGAGAGGAGGAGCAGAATGTAGTATTTCTTTTTGAAATGTTAATGTACCTTTTAGGAAATTATTTCTGGTTTCTAAATCATCTTGGTGTTAAATTATTAAGGGATGGCATTAAAGGACTGTTGCATGGGTGAAAACACTTAAATACCTTAAAGGATATAAAGGATTATAAGAATTTAAGTGAGGAACCTTTTGGAAGACTGTAGCATTCAACAAGAAAGTAAACATTTTTAATGTTGGTTAAAATACGGACAGATTTTTCAACTGTTTTGTGGGCTCTCACAATCCAAGCAGAGAATCAGCGTTGAAGCAATTCAAATTGTATTCTAACCCTGAAGAACTTAGTTTGCTGGCCCTTCAAAGAAAGCACCATTTTTGTCAGGGGTGGGGAAGAGGAAAAGCGTGGCTTATGTGAAGCTTTTTCCCTGAGGTTTACGATTAAACACATTTTATCCAGGTTCTGCCCTCCAAGCATAACATGGCTGCCATCCAAGGTTCTTCTGGGCCACGGCATTTTGGAGGGCAGTGTCACTGGGAAGACTGCACAGAAGTCTGGCAGGGTTGGCTACGAAAAGTACCACTGCTCAGTGCGCAGAGGCTCAGATCTGCGTCCAGGGGCAACCATCCATGGTGCCCTGGGCACACTGGAGGGGTGGGCTGACTGGGCTTGGCGTGGCCAACTTTCTTTCCTTTAATGTCTTCTTTTGTGTCTTCAATGTGGTCATAAGTCCCAAGATAACTATGAAACAACCTAGGAGGGTACTAAAAACAGAGTTTGTGCAAGAATTCTCCCACATGGCAATGGCTATTTGCTAAGAACTTGTAGCACTTACTGGGTGGACTATTTGTTTTCTACTGGTGACTTCTGTGTGTTCAAGGCAGGTGGGGTCAACTGGTCATCTTAGATAACCGTTTCTAGCAGATTCTGCTGATTCCACTTGGGCACTGAGAGAGTCTATAGTCGGGGTCCCATGCAAAGGTAAAGTCCTCCACATTTGGGAATCGCAGGAATAGGAACACAGCTTAAAACTGCTGGTGCATCACGGTTTACCTGGCTTTGTTCTTAGACAGAGTGTTTAAAAATTGCTCATGGCTTGAATTCAATAAAATATGACACCAGCTAATGTGCATTAAGTGTTGTGTTATGAATAATGGTCACCCATTACTACCATTAGGAAAACAAGAAGTCACTGCCAAAATGATGACTCCATGTCAAAAAGCACCATATGAAGGTTTTACATCATGTCTGGGCAAGAAACCCAGGGTCAGTGAAGCAATAAATGAGAGTTACAGGAAACATTATCAGAGACATAAAAAGCATCACTGTAACACTACTTTCCAAGTTATTCTTTTCTAATAACTACTTGAAATACATTGATAAAAACAAGATTTTGAGAAAAATGTATAATCTGAGCTGGCTCCATGTATTTGTAATGATCTTCTGAGCTTCTTAAAGATGAAGATTTGCACCAAATGCCCACCAACCATGCTGTACCAAGGGAAGGTGGGCCAGAGCAAGCATGCTTTGCACCTCAGCACTGCCTCCTGTCTATCTCCAGGGAGGAGGGAAGAGTGATTTCAATTTGATATTAATCCAATATTTATGTGGATTAACATGTTTTCTGCTTTGTCCATTTGAGAAATTTCAAATTTACTGTCATTTCAACCAACACAAACTATCCTCCACACCCTCGCCACTGCGTGAGCTGAGAATCCTCAGCACTCACAAGGCTGCTGTTTTCCTCGATCACTGAGTCTTCCTTTATTGTAAGAGACAGATTCATCTTTGTCAACCCAGCCATGAGGAACAGTGTGAACAAAGCCAGTACCTACATGATACCAATGACTCAAGCAGTATAATCGATAGACTTACTTGGAGAATCAAACAAAATTCTAGTAACCAGGTAGTCTCTACTTAGTGGGCTTTTTAAGGCATTATAAATTAGTAAAAAGAAGAAAACGAAAACAATATCAGAAGCTTCAAGCCTAGAAGATTAAATGATTACAATAAGCGAATGAAATATTATTCAGTGTGTTTTCTTTGGGTATAAAACATAAAAAAAGAAAGTAAAAGCCTTAATTCCTAACCCCCATTTAGTGTTCTATTAAAGCACAACTTCAACTTGACCTCTGTTTTACAAGACATGAGAAAGGACAGTCACGCTGTCAATCACATCTCATGTCTGTTTTAATGAGCGAGTAGATTTAGGGGGCAGCAACAGTGATGAAGGGAAATGCTTGGAGTTTCTCAGTGATCAGAAATTAAAGACATTTCCCACTGTAAATGCAATAAATCAAGTATGTAATACACATGTTTTAGCTGACTGTTAAGGTCAGAAGAGGGTAGAGAGGGGACAGAAAGACTAAGCTCATCACAAGAAGAATTTATATTTATTTGTTTAATGAAACCAGTGCCTTTTGACCACAAAATACATATGTGTGTGTGTGTGTGTGTGTGTGTGTGTGTGTGTGTGTGTGTGTATTAAACTAATACCAGCTGGCATTTCTAAAAGGATCCCAGGGCAGAGGAAACATACTTCTAACCAAATGGAAGCAGATTAAATTTTAAAATGTTTAATACATTCCTTCACACTTAGTCTCACTGCCCCATCAAAGTGATTATGAGACACACATGGCTTCTCACAAACTCAAGTACCACCATGCTTTCCAACCAGTGCATTCATGACACCTACAAAGATTATTCAGATCTGGCAAGTTAATTCTATTTTAATGTATTTTATAAATACCTTCAAATATGGGAACAAAAATGTTTTAAAGGGCTTTTCTTTTTTAATATAGAACGTGAGCAAGAATGTTTCTCCTACATTAATTGGCCCAGATTACCCAAAAGTAATTAAACAGAAACAGAACAAAGTAAGGCTAATGTCTGGCCCTATAACACCGTAAGGTTCCATCACCACAGAATATCTCAATACGAACATAATTATCCACACACAAATGCGAAGGGACATCGATCAAATGAGGTGAAAGGGTCCTTACTGCAAAGTCCTCCCGCCACTGGTGGGCTGCTTGCACTTTCTCCGCTTTCAAAGCCAGGCGCTGGAAAAGAAAAAGAACCATAAATCTTAGAACTCAAAGAACAATAAACATGTGATTGTTACACAAAGTGCTTGGGTTTACTAATCGATGACAAGGGCATAAAAAGCAGAAGACATCGCTGATGTATGATTCATGGACTCTAAATGACTTAGTGATCTAACCTGATGAAGCTTAGGCATGAGTATTTCCTCATTAGCGACTAAGTAACACTGATCTTAAAGCCACTGGCTCCACTGCCTCTGCTCTCTGCGTCCCATCACGTCCTCCAGCAGCACTTTCTTCAAGTGACTGAAGTTTTACCCAAGAGTACAGAGAGCCCCATTTGGTAAAAAGCTGTGTGGAATATGTCCAAGTGGAAAGAACTTATCGGGAGAGGAATGAGCGTGTACTAAGCACTGCACTCAGAGCCTCTCAGTAGCATATTTAGTTTGGACCAAAAGTCACGAGAACACAATTTGCTTTATGCAGAGCACATTTTTTTTTTCAGAGATCATCTGAGGGAAAACTCCAAGAGTCCATCTGGCAGTGGCTTTATTTCTCCTCCCCCAGAATGCTCAAGTAGGCAGGGAATTCCAACCAACTCATTTTCGTGACACTCACCAGGTGTATTCCACTGAGTTCAGCGGATGAAACACCTGGGTCAGTCAGCTGACCACATTTTTAAAGATATTTTTCCCCCTTCCCTGACACTTTTTCCCTTTATATTTCTGAACTTCACGCTAATATTCCCACATGATGAGTTTATACAAGAGTCAATAATACTTAGCACACAAGGGCAGAGTCAGGAAACAGGCGACCTAAGTCCAAATCCCAGCCCTGGCTACCTCTGCACTGGCAGCCTTGGGGAAAGTGTGGTCTCCTCCATTCTTGGATGTGAACAGTGTGAACACATGCCTGCTTCACAGGTCATCAGGAGGATGGAAGACATGATTATGCATGAAGGGCTTTGAGCAATGTCTGGCACACTGAGATGTGTTTATGTTCCTGTGGTGGCTCTGTCTGTCCCCTTGAGAAAACAACTTAGTGTTGCTGTCTGTGGCCTGGAACAGAGAACAGGCTGAATGATAACTGTAAATGCATGGAAAACTCCCCCTCCAAGAGACACACATCATTGGGATTTAGGAGCACATAGGTCTCAGAGCAGCCTATTGGTTTCTCCATTTTGTGACCATCACTGTGAGCTATCCTCTCTCTGCTCTTCCCGTGGAAATTGAGTCCACACTGGCTCATTCCAATATCCCTCAGGGCAGCTTTTGCATGATCACAAAGCTTTTTGCCCTTTAAATTTAATACCATGATCTATTCATTTTCAAAGGAACTGCATAAGTATTACCAGAAATTATAAAATGTTGCTTAGCAGAGGATTTCAACTGAATCCATTTATGCTGAAGGTTGCAATTTTTAAGAATTTTTTCATGAAATTCATAGATGATACCTGGAATAATTCAAGGAAGAAGAATTTGAAGAGAAAAATTTTTATTATGTTCTGTTATTATGTGTTGTTCCAAAAATAGAGCATTAAGCATAAAAAGATTAAGAATTCCTAAATTAAATTAAAAGAAATATTATCTACAGTATGCTGAAATGGGAATGGTCTTGGCTGTCAGTTGTTGGACAGAAATGAAGTATAAAAGATTAATAAATGTGAGAAATTCTGTCAGGGGAGAAAAAGCAAAAAAGAGTCTCCATCCCTCCAAAAATCTAAATGGATTAAAGCCAAAAGGCACCCATAAACATTCATCAATATTATATTATAATACATTTGCATATTAAATTTTATATTAAAATGTAGTCAAGGCAATAAAAATAAGCCAGGAAAGGTAGGCAGAGACAGGAGGACTGGAAGTTGGAGTACTGCCTGACCAACTTAGCAAGACCCTGTCTCTAAACAAAACAAGATGAAAAAAAGAAGAAAAGTTGAGAATGTAACTCAAGGTGAAAGTACTGAGTTCAACCCACAGTCTGGATAAAAAAAGGAAGAAGGTGGGGCATGAAGGATGAAAAGAAAGAAAAATAAGAAAAGAAGGAAAGTTAAAATGCAAATGGAAGCAATTTCTCTGTAAGAAAATTTTAGTATGGAAAGATTAAGCCAAAATGGGAAATAAGCAAGAGAGTGCATTCTTACCTGACAAAATTTGAAATGTAAATCTTCTTTCATTTGTGTAAAAATTAAAGTTTAGAAAGTAAGGAGCAAACAAAAATTTTAAGTTTTGGAAATTTAAACAAAATATTTTTTAAGATTAAGAAAAATTTGAACTGCAAAGCCCTCCGAGTCTGGGAGGGACCTGGAGGCTCTCCCTTCTCACCTGACAGGGGGATGCAGCCCCAGCAGGCAAACCCTCTAGCACCAGCCCTGCCTGGGATCTCACTCAGCTCTTCCCCTCCAGGAAGTGTGCAGGCTAAAGTGCCACAGGCCAGACCTGACACATCCACATGTGGTCACAGGGACGGAGTCTATGGTAACTAAGATTATCAAGCCCAGTGACAGCAGGCAAAGTTAACCAATTCCTGCAAAACAGGAAACTGATGCAAACAAACTGTAAGACAGTGCCCCTACAGGCAGAAAGTCCAAATCAACTTTACCTCTAGTACTGTTTACACACTCACCATACAAAGTGAATGCCACATGTCACAAGATTCTGAGAATTTTAGAAAGCTAAAGACCTCAAGTTGAATGTACAAGAAAGACGTGGACTTTAAATGACTGATATGAGGGTCATTTTTTATGGCCCCAATTTGGAAAACTAGAACATGAAAACCACACTATTATAATCACCTTTTTTCATATGGAAATGTATGAAACCTCTTTCAATTAGCTAATTTCTTGAAGGCTAAATACTGAAGTTTAGATTCCAAGTCTTTATTGGGACCAGCACACAGTTACCAATCAAGCTCTTTCTTGTGGTAGAGGCTGGCTGGACACCACTTGCACAAAACTAACACATCATCTAGGCACCTGGAGCTTCTAGTCAACTTCTATCCCAGTCAGCCAAGTGACAGTTTTAAAGGTAATGATCTATCATTAAATGCCACAGGTAGTTATATTAAGACTGATAAACTCCCTACTTAATAAAATATGTCTTCTTAGTGGAGCATTTCTGATTCCATACTTTGCTATCTAAGTATACCCTCTAACTTTAACCTACATTATAAGAAAATTTTTTAAATTTAATTCATAGCACAGTACAATATAATAGCATTCAACCCAGACTTTATATCAGGCAGAAACAAACCCAGCTCAGTATGAATATCCATGAAATATTAATTCTGTGCATATTAAGACAAAACAGAAAGTCATGAAATGACTTTATTAAAAATGAGACAACAATGCATTTAGGTATGGAATGCTAAATACATAGACACTGTGATTAATCTGGTCATACATGTATCCCTATGTTTTGCTAGGTAGAAAACCATTTTAAATATCATCTTAATGACTCAAATTTAGCAGACTAAGCCTTCTGACTCCCACTCTTAGTGACAAGATCACTAAGATCTACCAAAAGTGTTCTCCCAGACATTGACAGTATAAACGAAGACACTGCTATACCAGACTACAACATGGACTGAAGACTGTTTTTAGATAATAAAAAGCTCACAAGAAAATATGAAAGTACTGAAGATGGAAAAGAAACAAACAAAAAAGCACTAAAAATATGATATAGTATGTTAATTTTGAACTGCCTTTACAAAGGTTTTGCACCAAAATCCACACAGATTATTCCTCACCAGGGAAAAGGCTTTTGATATGCAATGATCTGCAGGAAAAAGAAAAAGGGAACAAAGGGAATGGAGGCAGCTTATCAGGTCAGAGATCACCTCCCTTGAAGACCTATTCACCCTCAACCTTCACTTGCATCCTGTCTAGGTCTTTCTATAGCTTTGAAGCCTTTCAGATGGTAGGAAATTCTAATAAGAGGGATGTACTCACTCATACAGTGCATGGAGATACAATTCTATCATTCTAATCAAGACACCTGTATATATTTTCTCTTCAAATAAAATATTTTTCCAAACCTCTGAATAAATTGGTTCCTAGACTGTAAACTACTTGCAGGCAAAGATTTTCCACAGATTTTGAAATAATTATAAGGAATTTTCCTTTGCTCCCTTTGAAACTCATCTGTCAGAAATGATATGCTACATTAGACTACAAGAATGCTAATACTTCTATTTAAATCTCAAAGATTGACTCAGACAAAATTCAAGCAAATTCCAAAAGAGTTTCTTTGTCTAACTATGCCAAGAGTTTTCTTTTTGAAAGAGACAACAGATATGTACAACAGAGTAATCCAGGCAAGATATGCATGTGTTATATGATTAATGTTCATACAGTTAACATCCAATAAGGAGGAGCCAATTACTGTATTATGTCTATGTTGACAATCTAATTATCATGCTAATAAGTTTTACCTATCATCATCAAAAAGTTCTTAACATATCAAAAGGGTTATTTACTCATTTGAGTGGCCTAATAACACCTTTTGGAAACAGCAGACTTGGGCAAAAGCATAGATTCCCATGTTCTGAAGCACAAAGGGTGGATAGAGTAGGATGCACGGGAGCTGTGCTATCCTGAACACCCACTTTTAACTGGACATTATATATTCAGGGCACAATGATCAAGCACTTTATATGTGTAAATTTCCTGAGAATAAATTATATGGAATCAGCCTTCAGCTCAGAGCAATGGAGAAGATCCCCCCTCCAACAAGGCAAAGAGTGCCTCTATGAGGCTCCTTGATGAAAACTGAAGCCCACTGTAAAAGTGAAAAAATTCTATGTGATAAAGGCACACCAGACCACCATAGCTGATTGAATGTCTTAGGGTAACTAGAAACCCAAAACCCAAAAATCAGCTATAGCTGGAAGATCGAAGTATTAACCCAGGAATTAGACCAAAGACAGTACCAACAACAAAAATAGAAATGAGAAGACATTTAAACAAGTCACAAACATGGACTTCTAGCTCATCAAAGGTAAATTCTTGGGGAAACGAG